GAAATTCTTCAAGTGCTGATAATAATCCTTTTCGCGATAAGATCTCTGTTAATTGTTCAACGTCTTTATTTACGTTGTAATTGCTCATGGATTATCTGGATCCGCTCGCGAATCCAAATATACTTGATTGTGCTATCTGTTGACTTACGAATAAAATACTTTACGTTCGGTTGAGCGTAAATGAATTAGAACGTAAGATGCGCCGATCACACCTTTTAAGATATTCCTGCAAGGAAAAACTTTGTTTCTTCACGCGCCATCCCGAAAAGATTGTGAGATTTTCATCATCTTCTGTAGCTCTCCGAAACTTCTAATAAGTAGCGCCGCGAAACATCGGGTGAAAATTGGGTCAAGATCGGAACTCTATCGTTATCATTTCTCATTTCGGCGACAAGTGTCGCTTCGCACTGGAAAATTATTCTCTTACAAGTTCCCCATAAATGCCTTAAAAACTGTGCTTGATTCTTAAACCAAAATGATTTAAACTCGTCCTAAGACTTCTCGTGTGATCACGTGGCCAATTCCGAGTAACATTCGAAGAAATGGTCACCAAGCGTTGAACAAACGAGGATGTTCCGAAAGGAACAAAAGCTAAGAGCGAGGAATATCGGGCATAACTCGGTAGACTTTGTTGAGGGCTTATAGGTCGTTCGTATTCTATTGTTACACTCACTCACTCACTCAACAGGACAACGCTATGGCTTTGCCTCCATAGGACGCACTAGCCATAAAAATTGATTACTGAGCACCTCTGAATTTATCTCAAAGGATGTATTATCTGAAATCCTACCGCCAAATACGCCCCTGGAAGCTTCCCAGGTCTTTAGATTTAATGACTTTTGTCAAATTCCCTTGACGATCATTTGTACAGGAATTTCAGGATGGGGAAGCCCTGTAATTATTCCATTACTTTCGGTCTGAAATTTAAAATCCCTTTGTTTTGACCTGCATAAATTTGTGTCAAGTCGGCAACATTTCCCCTCGAAATTGAAAATGATATAAGAAGTTTCGATGACTGAGATTTTTTCATCTTATCCAATAATATGTGCAAAGAATAAAACATTTTGCTTTTTTCTTTCTTCAGATTAACCGTGCTCATATACATATAAAATTTTGTCGCCTGATTAAGATCTGTAGGCAATCAGAATCAATTACTTAAGGATTATCAAGTTTATGTACTTATCAGCGTCTATCATGTAGAACATAAACTATTTGTTACACAAGCATAGGCAAGATGCAAGGTCTGAGCTTTAAATAAACAGTTAAAGACCTGTCGGGTTCACGTTATTTTACGTGTCACCTGGCATCAACAGTCGCGGTGCAACTGCACAAATTTAAACAGATAAGATTCATTGTCACTATTATACATCAATTAATAATCTGTCGGGGGTCAAAAATCGAACATTACGATGTTAGGGCGACTCCGAGCAGCATGCATCGATCCCAAAAAGTACGTTTTCTCTTTACTCCTACATTAACAAATCTGCCTGTCTTATCTAAAAACCCAAATTGGCTCACGGATCATTTTTTTTTCAAATATATGGCGAGCGCGCCTTTCGCCTTCACCCTCGAGGCTCGTGTGGACTCTAAAGCTATCTCACATAATGCTCTGAGCGATCATCTGTGCAAACAAGAGAAAGCTATTTTTTTCTGGATTTATTTTACGGTTCATCGGTCCATATAAACATATGACGTCATAGCTTCAAATTAAAGCAGTGATTAAACGACATTCATTAAGCTTCAAATACCTTGAAAGTCTGAGGTAACAGCTCCACTCAGGACATTTCATGGGAACTGATGGTGGCCTTGGTAAGAAACAGCCGGTCAGTTTATCACTGTCATTGAGTCATTTGCAGATTTTGCGTCAGAGGTTCCTACAGAGAAGTCTGCCAAAGTAAATTTGGCAGATAAGGAAAATAGTGCACCGCATTGCGCGGAAGTTTCGATACAGACTGCGCACTTTGTAATTCCACAGTTTTCCAGATAACGAAGATTAACCCATCGGACAGGTTAACAAACGGTCCAATTAAACTGCTCAGCGCCTATACGTAGAAACTTTCATACGTGTCTTGCTGTCTGATAAATCGAATTAGTTTGTCTGATAATTAATGCCGTTCGATCACCAGACTGGAGTACTTAGACTGAGACGCTATTTTGGAAGAAACAAAACCCACGGACAACAACACCAAATACTCAGAGATAGGTAAGTACTTTAAAACGGAATTTCTGGAGGTTTTATTCAAGTCAAGTTCCAATATTGCTTAATTTCCGGGTGAATGCATTTCTCCCAGTGAAATTGCATGTGAGCAGTGGGGATTAGAAATTTTGATTTTGCGCAAATTTATGCGCACTACATGAATCAAATACGACTGTGATAAATTAAGTTAAGTTAACTTGTTTTCCCTTTCAATTGATCTGCTATTCTATCGGTTTCCTTGTACGTTTCCGTGTACATATTTTAATCACCTGTTGATTGCACATGACGTAAGTTGCTGAAACTAGTTTTGCCCCTTGCTTCTGATTTCCGCATAGTCATGGTTGCATAATATTACGACCGGTGTTGGGCGAAGGGAATAGTCCCTTCTAAAAAGGGGAATTTGAAAAAAAGTGCTTATCTTGCAAGGTGTCATAATTATGGCTTAAGATGTAGTCTACAGCCAACGAAGTAGGTGTTTTTTTTTTTTTTTTTATATCGTTAATCTTTAATGTGCAAGGTTCATCGTTTTCTTTTTGACTTTCTAATTAATTTGTTTCCCAAGAAGTCTCATAATTTCTGCTGCTTCCAGTTGGCTGTTAGGATAATAGCATAGCCTCCATATTTGTTTCGTCAATAGCAATCGTAGCTCCATAGGCAGTATCAGCAGTATCATCATCATTCTGAGCCTGCTCAGGAATTAACAGATGAGGAGTTTTATCTATTCTAAGGTTTCTCTGGGATAAGGATGCTAAATGCTAATGCTAATGCTTTTCCTACATCATAATCATGTCTGGCGTTTTATTTGGCTGTTTAAATGACCACTAAATTAGTTAATGAGATACCTCGGTACTTTAAATGGAAGCCTATTTGCACTATTCTCAAATATGATCAATAAAGAGGGTAATCTTCGTGTAGTGTTATGTGTCACGCAATCGCCTTTTATCACCTGATCATTAAAGAGCTATCCATGTTCGTTACGTTTCATGGGCTCGCACCAGCATCATGTATGGAGTGTTTTTTGGGTACCTTTTGTGTCTCGAGTTCTCCTTTAAAATCGTGCTTCTTTTTTGGAACTAGATCCTAACACCCCGCATTACTATTTGTTTCTATTTTCATCGCAGCCTTGAAAGCGAATGATTTCTTCGCAAATAAAACAGTCAATCTTAATAAGCTAATTAACGGAGTCATTAGAATTCTCTAGTAAAGAAGGGGTATCCCCCCTTAGAGTTGGGGGATTCCAAGATTTCACGAAACCCAAGAGTTTTGCTTGTTTATGATGGGGCGTTTACTAAAGAGAAAATGAAAGTGAATTTGTAGAATAATCAACGGTAAATGTGAAAATCTTGACTAAGCCCAATGAAAAAAGCGATCTGGAGAAAATTAAATTACCATGCACCTCTGTATTCATCTAAAGGAAGGCATTTCTCTCACCTGGAAGCGTTCCAAGCTTTGGTCAATTTTCGATTCATGATCGATGTCATTTAAACAGAAATATCATCACAAAAAAAACTTGGGAAAAACCCTGCTGTAGGGGTAAGCCCCTAATAATGCAACCGATTCTTCCGGTCTGAAATTTCAGGCAAGTTACCTTATAAAGTGGATTTATAAATGATTAAAATCCTTTAGAGAAATAATAAAGTTGATCTACAGCTAAGTTTTTGGTGAAAACCACGTCTGGTGGCATAGATGATGTTTCCGCTTACAAAATTATTTGCTTTATATTTCATCTTTGCTTGACCTACATAGATTTGTGTCAAGTCGGCAAAATTTTTAACCCGGAAATTAAAGTAATCGAAAAGTTTCGATGTGCCTGTTCGATAGTTGTTTTTCTTATCCTATACAGAAATATGTGGAAAGAATAAGCCATTACGCTCTTGGTCTCCCGTTAGGTTAAGCACGCTTGTACAAACATTCGTGATCTAACACTATTTTTTATACAATCAAAACTATTTAGTGTACTTAAGGATTGTTAAGTTCATTTATATATCGACCTCAGCTAATGAGGACCCAAAAAATTTGCTACACAAGTTGAGGCATGTTGCGGTATTGAGTATTAGTGGCTAGTTCTAAACAATTGGAAACTTGTCAGGTTCACGTCATTTTAAATGTCACTCACAGATTAGTACGATTCACCCACGATTTGATTAGAGTCACGCACCACTTAATACAACTCGTCACCCCATCAGCAATGGCTAAAATTTAAACAGACCTTATCCGATTCAATTTTATTATTCTTCATCAGTTAATTAACTGGTATGGGACAAAAGTTCCAAGCAGCACGTATCGATTCCATAAATATTGAATCTGTTTATCCACCATTATCAAATATGTTCGTTTCTTCAGTCTAATTCAGAAAATGCATGTTACGCGCACGCCTCTCGCGGCCGCCCTCGAGGCTCGCGTGAACTCTCAAGCCATCTGATAATTTGGGCTGGGTGACTATCTGTTAAAACTAGCAACAATTTCGTGACAAACAGCTGGTTCTCAGAAGATAATGGAGGTATATGAGATTGCTAGCAAACAGCGTATCGGTTTCCAACCTTAACCTTTTCAACCATCTTCGAAAAAAGGCAGGAAAATGCCGACTTGACGGCGCGTGTCGTTCCATCCTACTAAATATAGCACCAAAGCACGATAAACCAAAAAAAATACGAGTTTTGAATAGAAATTGGATGACATCGCCATTTAAAGTAGGTTTTCATATGGCTGAATCAAAAAAACCCCGGATTATTGTACTTAACAGTTCACTGACCCAACGATCACATGACGGCTGGCCCGACAATACTAGACACGACAAGGATATTACTTTTTTATTTAGTTTTGTGCGTGTTGCAGATCGAAGCTCTGCTCTGTTGTGACGTTCGAAGAAATCAGTGAGTGTGTTTCATACTTTCTTCTGTGGGGATCGTACAGAGAAGTCTGCTAATCAATATTCAACGCACAAAAGTAAACAATTAACTAACTACACTGAGCCACAACCTCGATAAAGAGACGACTGTGCACTTTGTCATTCTCATGTTTTCCTGACTGAGGTTATTAATCTTGGAAACAGGTAAAGCACAGGCCATCTGTCAGATATACAACGCCTGATTTCGCCTTAAAAACTTTCAGACGAGCCCTTGCTGCCGGGAGATTAATACTGTTTTGTCCAAGAGTCAGAACTGTTTGATCACTAGATTGGAGTGATTACTCTAAAAACACTATCTTGCAATACATACGGACAATATCAGTAAATCCTCAGAAATGGGTAAGTACATCATAACGGTGCGGTCTATCCAAGCTAATTTCCAATATTATCAGTTGCCGGAGTAATTTCCGGGTGGTTGAATTCATTCTCCGCCGGCAGTAATGTTAAGAAATGTTGTTGTTGTTGTTTTTTTTATTGTTTAAAATTATGTATATTGTATGAATCAAATAAGACTGAGGTGTTTAACGTTCAGTTGATCTGTTTTCCCTTTCGATTAATCTGCTATTCTATCAGTTTTCCTATCTGTTTCCGCGTGCGTATTTTGTTCATCTGGTTATTAAGCATGACCCTGAGGCTTCTTTGCCCCCTAGCCCCTGATTTCCGCACGGTATTTCAGCATTTTCCGACGACTGTCAAAGGGAAAATTCCCTTCAATTTAGAAGTAGTATACTTCACGTACCGGAAAAAAAACTTGCAATACAGGGTTTCTTATCTACATAATTATTTAACTTGTCGTCCATTGTCAACAAAATTAACAGTTTTCCACTTTTCTGCTCGATATGTCGCATCATCAAATTGCATCCGGCTTACTAGTAAGAAAATAACATAGCCCCCATATTTGGTCCGTCAAAGACGATCGTAGCTTTAATACTAATTACCAGCAGCATCATCATTCAAGTCTGCTTAACAATCGACTAGAAGAGGAGTTTTATCTATTCTGAGGTGGCCCTGCACCAACAAAAACAACTTTAACTAGGATAAGGATGCTAAGCAATGCTGTGCCTACGTCATCATTATGTCTTAGGTTTGCATTCCATTTGAATGGCGACTGAAAGAGATACCTCGGCAAAAATGATCGGGGGCTCAGCTCGCAACCAACGCGTCTGAGTTTGCGCAAAAACTCATTTCCTAAATCTCTCCATTTGATGAAGCAATCCAATCAGTCTGTAAGGATTCGGTATTGGTCTACTAAGATGACGAAACAACAACTTTGGTAATGCCCAGCATACTTTACCTCACGTTAATGATACAAGAATAAGTTACTGGCGTATTAGCAGCAAACCGTCGAACATCACGAATATTTTTGTGTCCGATTGTCATTTACACAAGGAAAATTTTTATCGCTTCTGTACTTTCTCGCCGCAACTAATTTACTGAATAGAACCTGTTAACGCTTTGTCGCATGCATTCTTTTTAAATCTGAGCTATGGTACTTTTAGCAGGTTGTTCCAGCAACAAGTGCAGCCGGAAACGTCGGATGACAGAGGAAATTATGAATGAACATTTCTTACACGAGCAGATTGGGAACAAGTGGAGAGACCTGGCACGACAACTTAAGTTCACAGAGGCTGTCATTGGCACTATCGAGAGTGACAAGGGCGCTTCTACTAACGAATGCTGCATTGCGGTCATCGTAAGGTGGATTAATCAGAAGGGAGAGGATGCTACTGTCGAAAAGTTTGCTGGAGTTTTGATAACGATAGGACTCAGGAACGTGGCTGAAAAACTTCCGGGTATGTAATGTAACTCCGTATTCGTCAAAGCGTTGGTTGACACGCGGTTAAGGATGAACTAAATATTTCATTTTCTAAAGTTAAAGTACAACCCTGTGCCTGTAAGATTTTCCCAACACAACTTTATTTTCCCGGGATGATTTCTTTCATGTCAGTAACTTTTATTTATCTATGATAAACTTGACCCATTTTTGGGTCCTAAGAAAAAAAGAGCTATTTCTTTCGTTTTAATTATGAAAAATGGAAATATTAAACAGTGCCTTTACTATTTTTTTTAATATAACTTTAATTTCCAGGTCTTTTGCCATCAGAAGAGAACGACGAGGTAGGAAGAAACGTCTCAAATCAAGTAAATTCTCGAACTTTTAGCAACTTTAGGTGTAATTGGATGATGCCTTAAGCCCTCCTAAGAATATTTGCTGTATAAGTGGATAAAGTTTTGTTCTCTTTAAGATCCAAGACGTTCTTTCCGTCAAAAATTTGAACTACGCAAGAGTATAGCCCATAAAAGAGTCATTGGCCGGCAAAATTCTAAAGTTTAATTTTTCATCTTATTTCAGATGGAGAGTACAATTTATGAAATAGAGAAAAACTGTAAACAATTGAGAAAAGAGGTAAGAAATTATTTGGAAGATAAGTTCTTCGTATTCTTAACAGAATTACGTTTTTCGAAATTAAAACAGACTTATGTTCATCAATAAACAGCACCACCAATTGCAAGTGAGAAAGCAAGAGCTCGAAAAAGAAAAGCAGAGTATGACAAAACAGCTTCAAGACAGTTTAGAAGAGGTTGGTAAATAATTTTGATTTCTGATGAGCAGCTAGTTGGATATTTATCTTTCTTTACGTTTCCAACCAGCATGGTAACGAACCATTTCTTGTCAAACGACGGATACCTTATCTGATAATTTCCCCTTGATAGAAACAAAACCAAAAAGTGCATTTTCCTTTGTGCAATTTAATAAATAGAGCCAGAAATTACGCACAAGAATTCAAGAACTGGAGGAGGAACTGTCTAGAGTAAAACAACAGCTTCACGAAACTTCCCAAGAGGTTGGTAACCACATTTTCTGCTCTGTTCTTGTTTTTGCTTCTTAACATATCAGACGTACCTTCAGCTCATTCCAATATAATTGGGATGAATTTCCATGATACCCTGTGACAATTGCTCAATGCTCAAAAAAATAATTAACTACCAAACGACATTTCTGAAATTTTATCTTTCATTTAATATGTGACACAGAGTCAAGAGTGGAAGACCAGAACTTTAAAACTGGAAAAGGAGTTGGCTGGAATAAGAGAAGACAAGTCAGAACTGGTAGGCATATGTTACTTAAACTATGTTGAACGCTACAGAAATAGCTCATATTTCGCAAACGAAATGTTAAAAAAGTATTTAACAAGAGTTAAAATCATGGTGATTTTTTTGCAATTTTTCCGTTTGGGGTATGGACTTGCTTTTTGAGAAATTTCCTGAGCCGATTTACAAGAATGGTGCGTTTTTTCGCTGATTCCCGAATCACTTGCAGAAAAACAAGTGCGATTACACATTACTTAATGGGCTCCTGGTAATAGGGACAACATATTGTCAGCTGTGGCGAGCGGCGCATCTCGTTAAGAGTTTTTGCACAACCCAATAAGAAAGCCGCTATGTATTAATTATAACTCAATTTTCCTCTTTTTCTTCTGACGACAAGGAAAGTTTTTTGTACTTTTGCAGGACTTGGCCGAGAACTTCGATAATTCGGCCCGAGAGGGTGATTCTGAAGCTACCAGAAATTCTCTCGCACCAGGTCGAGGAGATACAGAGGGTGAAATCGACGCAAAGCTGAAAGAACTTAATGAGCTCCTTCGCGCAAATGTAACATTTATACTGCAAGTGCCAGAAGTAAAGGAAGACAAACTGAAAGTTCCTGTCCAGCTCGACCTTTTATCGAGACTCAGTTTTAGTTTACAGGAGTTATACACCTCAGTCCTCTCCATGGGGGCTAAGTGTTGTAAATGCAGTGAAGAGGTGAGACGAGAATTTTACGACTTCGCGTATCACGGTCTCAGAGCAGAACACAATGATGTGGTGCATCGAGTTGAGGATTTGGAAATGGCACAAGGAGAAATGACCGCCGAAGAAAAAAAGGATTTTGGTAAACTCCAACAACTTCAGACCAATCGACAGAGACAGGTTGATAGGCTAGAAAAGCTATGGAGAGGTCTATTCTCACCGGTAAGAATACTTGTTATTCATTGAAAAATGAGGATTTGGCCGGCGATTGCTACATGTACATCTCGAGGCATTTTCGGAAGAGATTAAATCCCAAGTGGTCTCAAGTAGATTGGAACTTAAGACCTTCTGAGCTGCACTATTTTGTTTCATGACGAAAGGACTTGATTGACATAGATTACAAAATCGCATGATATTTCATTCTAATAATCTAATAGCTTCGTTTTCGTTTTCGAAGAGACCAAAGAGTAGATTAGGGGGGTTTCGTCGAAAATGTTCAACATTGGAAAGTTGCTAACAAACTGATAACTCAAACACAACGGAC